TACCTTCCTGCCAAAGGTCATGCCCCTGCGGGTCCAACCCACTGTCTGAGCAATGAAAAAACACCGAACTGGGGCCACTCTGAAGGGACATTTAGCTCAGACTCCCCACGGCATTAGCTGAGGCTGTCCTTCGGCAGCGTGCGTTCTCTTTTTGCCCAATCCTGTCTCCCTGCCTTTCACGCATACTGATGCCAAGCAAAATCTTGCTAAACATTCTACCCGGAAAGTCCGTCTCAGAGTCTGTTTCCTGGGGGACATCCCTGTAAGGGTTGGGGATTCCCTTATGACCTAGGAAACCATCAGCATTTAAAGAATTCATGTAGGCGGGAGGTAGGCAAGTCAGGAAGTGGCTACATTCCCAGTCTAAGGGGGTGTGTGCGTGTGTGTGTGTGTGCGCGCGCACAGTAGGAATGAGAATTCATAAAACACCGAAGGGAATCCAGGCATAGGACTGATCCGAGGTAGGCACCTCCCACCACACCCACCCTGAGAAACTCATGTTCTTTTGCTGTTCGTTACCATACAATGAATTATTCTTCTACTTCATCGAGAAAAAAGTATCTGAGACATCCTGATGTTGAGAAAGACCAAACGATGTTTAGAAAGACATACCGTTAATTTTTGTCAGTCTCCACATTCTGTATATGTCGGAACTGGGAACCTGCTCCAAACTGAAGTCAAAGGGGGGGCCGTGTATAGGTTCATCTGGATCGACAGCAACAATCTCCACCGACGACATGACGGGCTTACAGATGATCACCTGCTGCTTAGGTATGGATGGGCCATTATCATTCACGTCTTCCAGTATAATTTCCAGAATCCCAGTACATGTCCTCCCATCTAGAAAACAGGATATGAAAATACAACTCTTTCACGTTTTGAGTTTTCACTGGGAAATTATACATTGAAAAAAAATTTTTTTATTACGGATTAGGTACGTGTACCATGTAAATGACAGTGACAAGCTCAGCCACAGGTTATGTCCTTAGGGTTGTTAAAAGAGACGGTTATCTCTTTCAAATGTTACAGAAAATAACTGCTATTTAGATTTGTCACTCATTCACTAAAGCGCTCCAACAGACATGGAAACTTTCATGGAAGTGAGCTGACTGATTTTTAAACAGAGAAAATTAAAGAGGACCAACAAGGGCATTTCTGGTAGAGTTAAAAGCACAAGGAAATTTAAGGAGGTAGGGAAGCACATACGCTACAGAATAATAATTTATGTTTGTTGTAGTTAACATATTTATTTTATAAAGGCACAACGTTCAAATGTATATTATGGTAAAATTATATTTTCAGCACTAAATGGATTTCATTCATAATTACTGTGCTCGTATTTCAATTTTACAGGACTCACAGAAAATCATTGTACATTTTATACAATTACGTGGCTTCACAGTATTTATTTATCTAATTTTATAGTATCAGAATTCTACCCCCCAAATATATTGCTAGTTTCCTGTAGAAAGATAGTACCTTTTAGGAGTGTACTATGCAGCTGCTAAGCATGTTCTCTGTGTAATGAATTTTCTGCCAAAGTGAATATTTTTAGAGATGTGACTAAATAAGTTGAAGCTAATCTTACTAAAGTAACTTTCTCAATTTTTAATGATTGTTTAGTTTTAATAAAATTATAGTTTCAAGTATTACCATGACCAAATTATTTTATAATTGCATCCAAATCTGAGGGTACTATTGGAAAGCAGATATGAGTTAATACATTATAGCAAACCTCTCAATTACTGTATTTGTCATCTGGGGAGAAATAAATTTTGAGAATGAGTGCAGCTGACTTCAAAATGTATGTTGTTGGCTTAAAAACTGAGGATGTATGTAACAGAGGAGTTTACAGCTGGCTTAAAAACGAAGTTCTCACCTTTGTCTGTTGCAAGGACTGTAACATTATACATGCCATTTCTGATGGTCTCTGCCTCTCTATCCAAGCTTCTGAAAGTTGTGACTGATCCTGAGTTTTCATTAATGGTGACCCAGCCTTGTGGATCATTTAATTTCTTATACCTGTTAATAAGGATGAATTAAGATAGCAAAATGGATCACAAGCCAAATTACAATACTCGGATCGAAATTAGTGATACATTTTAAAAACATGGTCAATGTGAAGTTAACTAAAATAGAATCACAAGTACCTTATGCCACTGCTACTTCTCGTGTCTGGGTCGTATGCTTTATATCCGCTGCTCTGTGTTCCCACTGGTGCATTTTCTTTAATTCGAACGGTTTGCACTGCAGGGCTACACTCAGGGCCCTCATCCTGATTTTGTACGTTAACAGTGACTGTTGCCGTGTTCATGGCTGATCTTGAACTACCAGAATATGGAGCTTCATTAACTGCACCAATTTGCAGGGTCACCTGTTGTTTTTCTTCATAATTCAGTGGCTACGAAAGCAAGCGTGTTTACCATTAGATCAAGACACTTAATATTTGGCATTGTTAACTAGTGTGTAACTAGTTAGATTTGGAAGTCTGTAACTGCTGTGTTGGGAATAGTCATGAAAATATTATATACCCACAAATGTGATGGTGGTGGGAGGAGGGTAATCCTTCCACTGAGTCGGTATTTGGGTGGAGCCAGCAAAACACACACACACACACACACGCACACAAAACCCCAGGACAAAACCCTCAACTGCATATTTAACACAAGTAACCTCATAGGTCCTGATGACAATTTCAGAAAATATTTAATGAAATATTATTTGAAATATTACTTTAGGGACTTCATACCCTAATTAATCATACTTTACGATTCCATTAATTTTGGGACAGCTTATCCTACCCTTCTGAGATGAATACAATTATTTGTACCTGGTTTGGGGTAGAAAACAGAGGTCAAATTTTATAAAATATTTTAAGAGAGACAAGAAAACTTATGGACTTTACACTTTCCTTTTTACTTCTTTTATCCCAGTTACTTTCTGAAAAACTGGTAGTACCAAGTTTAATGGAAGGTTTTTATTTTATTTTGCCTGATACGTAGTTGTAATGAGAATGGGTGCAGCCATTTCCTAGAAGACAGAAATTTGTCAGGTCATAGAGGTCACAGAGATAAATTTCCTCCTTAGGATGCGAAAGACTGGGGCAGGGGTTGCATGAAGAAAGAGATAAGATTTAAGGGACATCTCTGCTGTTTTGAAACAGAGAAATTAACCCACAAACTGCAGGTAATTTTCATCATTGTAAGAAAAAAGAATTCATCATCTTTGAACCCCACTCTCCTTGTGAATATGTACAAAAGGAAAATGACATAGACCCAGGCTAGAATCACGTTCTCGTTCAAGACGCAGCAGAAACGAGCCTATGCCTTTGACTAAAGCCAACGAGCTCAGATCACTTTATGGGCTAACTCTGCTTCCTGAATCACCAGTGATGTCTTCTGAGATGTTGTAGAATATTATTAGAAAGAAATTCTAGAAATGTATTTACATCTTCAAATGGTTGAGGATTCCCATTCTGAACCAGGAAGTTAAGCATGTCATGTACGCTGAATACAGACGAACAGATCTGCAAAGAGCCTGCTATGGGTCTGATCAGGAGTAACTCATCATTTGGGAAATTCAGTAATCAAGCGAAGCCTCCTTGACCCAGCTATGGAAAGAATGGGCTAGGAAGGGTTGGCTGTGTCCCATAGGTGTCAAAGCTGTGCTAGTTTTTTTAGCTGTTAAGAGAGACTGGTTACAAGGTGAGTACTATATTGTATTAATTGAATGTACATACATAATAATTTTTAAAAAAATCATGCTTATATAAAATGCTCTCCAAAATGAATATATTCATCCCATTATATATATGAAGAACACAGCATTTACATTTACCTAAAATCTATTTCATTCCTACATTTACCAGGAAACTCTAATATGCTAATCCGTGATATTATAAGCTACAAATAACTAATTTGATAATTAATTCTTACCTTAACCACACACAGAACTCCTTCATTGGTTTTGGGATCTGTCACAATTTTAAAATTTCCGTTTTCATTGCCCTTTAAAATGGTGAAATTAGCTCTCCAATTAGCAGTATTAATTAAATCCTTATCCTCAACGGTGACACGTAAGATTTCCACATCAATTCTATTTTCTTCCACTGATGTCACATACTAAAATAATAGAAACAACAAGAAAAGTTTAATTAGTAACTCTCACAAAAATAGAACACCATGTAACGTAAGCCTGGTTCCTCTAATTTCCAGAGTACTATGTTTACATGATTTTAAACCCTCAGTCCAAACTACTGACTGTGGCTGGGAATACTTCATTTGAAATCATGTGGCTGGAGATATACATACTTAGCAATTAACACTGCATTGTACCTTTTTCTTTTATTAATATCGTATACTTACAGAAGAACGAGTGAATGTTGGCAAGTTGTCATTCACATCATCAATATTAATGACGCAAGCTGAGGTTGTCTGCAAACCAAAATATTGACCATCCATGTCTTGTACTTTTATTTTCAACTGGTATTTATCAAATACCTGAAAAGAAAGTAAGAATTTAATTACTGGGTGAAAGCAACGTTATAAATGAAACCTTATTTACACTCTATAATTGTCCTTGTATTAAAAGTTTCAGAGGTACACTGTTAGATTTCATAGTTTTCATGTACTGGCAGAAGAATGATTTCCTCACACTAGTAATTTTCAATTAATTTATGGAAGTTCTCAAATTTAAAGAGCTACCCATAGAATTTAGAATCAATTGGTTTTAGCATTACTCAACAGAAAGAGAAGATGTAGCCGTAGTACATTTAAAATTGCCTAGTAATTAATCAAAATCAAAGTACATTCTTATGATCAAAATATACAGCAGTGACTCTTATACCAGTCTTGTAATGAAACAATAAAGAAAAATATCCTCCCGTAAAAAAGGTGGGTTTTAAATATTTACATTTATAAAAAGATCATTAAATTAGCATGGAAACAAAATTCTGGAACTATGTAATTTTTTTCTCTCCATGGAAAATAGAATCTGGTTCTTAAGGGTTTTCGATTCATCAGCAATAGGAGGAGGTTCATTGCTAGTTAAAAAAAAAAGTTTCTCCTCATAATGATTTCATTTATCACAAGTATTGAGAATGTGACCCCAGAACACTCTCGGGCAAAAGCACTCCAAGACTCCTTCATTAGTTAAAAGCTTTCAGATTTTATCAGAAGGATCTATTGATGACAAAAGAGAATTTGGTTTATAATCAGCTCTTCCTGAGCACATACACTCCATGAAGAATCTAATATGTAGAGCTGTAACATTGATTCATTCATTCATTCAGCAAATGATACTGCATTCTTCATTGGCACATAATCACAGTAAAAATAAATACATTTATGAATAATAAAATTGAATTAAAAAATAAAATTTTACTTAAGAATGTCCTTGTAGATGCAGTAAAAATGATTAATTTTATTAAATTTTATTATATTTCAACCTTAGTCTATGGGATGAAATAGGAGGTACATATAAACCTTTTCTGCGTAACATAGTAATGATGTTCTTTTCAAGGAAAAGTACTTGTGTGATTGATTTACAAACTGAACTAGCCATTTTTTAAAAATAGAATACTATTTTCACATGAAAGACATCTATGGTTATTCAGACTGGTACATCTGGAAGACACTTTGTCATATATAAAGTGAATCTGTTACTTTAAGGAAAATAACTATTTGTTGCCAATGAACATTTGGAGTTTTCAAGCAAAAATTCTGCAACTTTTATGAACCAACATGATATAAACAGAGGTGAGGAGGTGTTTCTTTTAATA